AAACCCATTTACGATGCCTATTCCTTCAATGTCATTCCAATTATGGGACAGGTATGTTTTTCTTTTGTTAGATACTTCAGCGAAATCTATGAAAGTCTCTTTCCTAGGTTCTGGCTGGTGATTACAACAGTTACAAATATCTTGTTGAAAGTATCCGGAAATTTCCTAGCCAAGTGTGTTTCTTTACTCGCTTTCATTGATTTTGTTATGTTGTGTATTGGTTATTTGCTACATTGCATGCATCATAGGAGGAATTCGCTGCAATGATACGGGATGCTGGTTTTGAGATGGTGCGTTACGAGAATCTAACGTTCGGTGTGTGTTCTATCCACAAAGGAAGGAAACCAAGGAAGGCGGTAGGGGAATCATAGGTGTGCGATTCCTCGTCTCGTTACTATGTATCGATGTCTCTCTACCTTTCAGACATATAATGCATGCATTGTTTGACTTCCTAGAGGAATTGAATTATCAGATTTGTTGATTTTCTTATTTTGCAAATCCCACGTTCATTACCTAGTTTGTTCTGTGGGGTAGATTTTCGGGTAATACAGAATACGGACTGCAGAAGTTACTATGTGTTGTTTATACACTGCCGAATAAAGTTATTTTCCTGAGTGAGATAGTATATGCTCTATCCGTTAACTCAGTGAATATTTGAAAGCTCACTCAATCTCTTTTTTTATTCCTTTTTTTTGACAGTTTACCGGATTCTAGCTTTATGGTCGCCGCTCCTCCTATAAGACTGCTTTTCGCAGTTCCACGACGATCACTCTCTTTAACCTCTTGCCGACACATTAGGTGGGTATTTGAAGAGTTTTTAGGAGTAGAGCCGTTTAACTTTGCCTTCTATTCATTGAATATATTACTGGTTACTGGTAAGCTTCTGCTTTTATGTTGCTGCTAACAGTTGTTTTTCCTATTTTTCGTAGAATCATTTCTTGTGGTCTGCTTGTAACTCTAGTTCCGTTGTGTCTGTTAACACTTGCGATCGACAAAATTGTAGTCCGGCCGTTGTTCGTGCGGGCTAAAATCTAGATGGTCGATGTTAGCCCGCAAAGGCTTTGTTAATCAAGTGTGTGTTTTGCACCTGATTTAGCATCTCACATACGTGGTGTCAAATTGAATAGTTATTTTAGTAATTTAGCACCTAACCCACATAGACCTGCGCATGCCGCCTAACGTAGATGTTAGAAGCAATTACAGGTTCCGTTCCAGTAATCCCGCCTCTAGCAACAAGGAGATTGGCAGATTCGTAGCTCCTATTACATCAGACGCCTTATATGATCCAGGCCAGGTGCTCTTCCTTAATTTTGTAGATAATGCCGCCTTTTCGTATAGTTCTTATATAATAAGAAAGCTCACGTTTCACATTTTTCGAAATCTATTTGATTANCCCGCCTCTAGCAACAAGGAGATTGGCAGATTCGTAGCTCCTATTACATCAGACGCCTTATATGATCCAGGCCAGGTGCTCCTCATATTTTCTAGATAATGCCGTCTTTTTGTATAGTTCTTATTAAATGGGAAAGCTCATGTTTCACTTTTTTTAAAATCTATTTGATTATGATTACAGCTGTTTATTCACAAGGCCTTTGCTTACAAAGGGGTTGTCGTTTGTGCATTCAAATGCAGATTCCAGGAGAAGAAGAGTAGTACTAGGCACGTGATCATGCACCCCATAATAGGTGGACGTCCTGTCCACAAAATGATTGTTTTCAGTGATCGCACGGTTTCTCAAGGAAGGTACTACCAAGTGTTGATTGATAGAGGTGACTGGAGCCATATGGGTTTCCCAGTTGATCTCACCTCATATCTGATGGATGGCACGAGTCGTGGTGAAAAACTACTCACTCTTATCAAGTACGTTGTAATAAGAATGTGTAATTTTGCTCACTTTTCTTATTAGATGTTCTTGTCGATGGCCGATTTTTGCCGCATTGCGAACAAAACTCAATCAGTCTCGGATGAGACTTGAATAAGTACTTAAGCTCTCTGAGCATGCTACATGACAGTGTCCTCGCAAAGCAGAAGCATTGGTTCGAATCGCGTCCGAGTTAAACTTTCCGCTCTTAACTGCCATAATTGTTAACGCATTTTTTAAATTGAAAATTTCAGTGGTATGGATTGTGTTTCACACAGCGACATTCTTCCGTTCAATGCTTTCGATCGAGAGCCCTTGGATCACGATTTGTTTCATCGGATATTCGATGTTATCGATTCAAATGAAGGTAGCAATACTTACGTTTCAAGTATATTTTTTATTAGAGTGTAAAGTTTTCATTACTGTGATGATTTGAAGGTTATGAATTTATACGCAGCTGCTCGGCTGTTCCAAATGCCAACAAAATTGTTTTGATTTTTTCTCCCGATCATTATGCTCTTTGAGTCACGTTATTCAGGTAAGGAAGTCAAGATAACCATGAAGACCAATCTGTTCGAAAATTATATGGCGTCACAGAGGTCATGGTTAGCACCAAGAGATGTCTACAGGTTTTGTTTCATTTCTTGCTGATGATTTCTCTCATTGTAAGAATGTTGTTTAGAGAGGTCACAGAAAATATCGAGGTAACTGTCACCACATTTTACCTTGGAAGTACTATGAGTGCTGGGCAACTGAGGCATGTGTGGCGGTATGTCATAAGGTACGACATTAGTGAATATGGCTCTTAGAATTTTTTGTGCTCTCCGTGAATTACTTTTTTAGGTTAGAGAATCATTCCCCGCAAAATTCTGTAATTCTTCGCGAACGGTTTCTGAAAGTTTACTCTCTCAATAATATGAATCAGGCGCATGGTCATGGAGTTATCGGAAAGGTAGTATTTTTCCTAATACTTGTTTCTTTTTTCGTCTTATTCGCAAATTTAGCACTTTCATCCGTTTAATTTTTTATTTGTTGTTTATGAGTTGCAGTGCTCTTTTTATTACAAGTCGCTACGCTTATATTACTTCATCTATTTTGATATTACTACCTTACTGTTATGATATTACTATCCAGTCGGGTCGCCTGTCTAAAGCCGGGCTTCCCTCCTTCTTATGGCAGAGTTGTAATAATCGGAAAACCGGTCGCTCCTTAATTGAAACCTTCTTTGGAACAAATGACAACTTTCGGAACACGAAAGTTGGCAGAGGATCGACAGGGCATGCAAGTGGTATTCATATGTGCCGATGCTCGTGACCATCACTAAAAGACTCGATCCATTGCTGTTCATCTTAAAAATAATGACCTTTGAAGGTTCACTTCTAAGCAGCCAAAGCACTCACAAATGTTGTCGAGCGGTAGCTCCTTAAATGTTGTCGAGCGGTAGCTCCTTGTTGTCGAGTGGTAACTCCTTAATCAAAGGTCTTTAACAAGGAAGCTTTTCTTCTCCTGGAGATATTAGTTAAGCATCCAAGATCGTTGGCGATCGAATAAGTTTTGTCGCAAATGATGTCGATATGAAGGGGAACCGCGATGCTTCACTGGTTCACAAGCTTTACTAGGTAACGGTTGTAATATTATATAATAGGAAGAAATGAACTAAATTTTCATTTGCTCATGAAGTATTGTCTTTAATCGGTCCCTATCACTGCCCCTCTCGTCTTATCAAATGAAAATATCAAAGTTTCAAAACTAGATCGTAAATAACAAAGGCATTAGGTTACAATTAGTAAGGTACCCTTGCTCTCTGAGGCCCCTTATCAGCTCTTATTAGTGTCATCATTTCCTGCCACCGAGTACCTACATAACAGTCACATCCCAAATCACCTATTGAAATGCCAATGCTCCACCGCTAATACAAAGGGCGTTACAGACTTGTAGCTCCAGCCTTCAGTGGCTATTTGTAGGCTCTTTCCTCCTGTTATCAGTCCCTGTCAACAATTGCCTAGACCTCTTTACATCCCACACCACCTATCAAAGTGCCAAAGCTTCGCACTTAATACGAAGGAGGTAACTGATTTTGCGTCTTTGCTATTATTACTTCCTATTTCCTACCATTAGTGTTCACGTCTTGCCGCCTGTAGCTCTCCAAAACCAGAACGCTTCAAATCCATGTTGATATTTTTCGCTCACGCTCCTCCCCCTGTGGGCGGAGTCTAGTCCTATCACCTAATATCAGCGCTCCCCATCGTGCCTCCTGTACTCCTACAACATTCGGACTTTCTAGGTCCACGGGAACAGGAGTTATGAATTTCCGGTCAAACACAAACACACAGACGGACAGATGAACCCAGACCCACTTAGCCGATTATATAGGGTCTCCCAAAATTATGGGTGCCGCTTCATGGCAGTGTATTTCAAGGTTCCCTGCTGCGAATGACCTAAACAACGGGCGTCTCACTCTTGCCAGTGGCTCCGAAAAACATCAATCTGCTGTTTTTACATCAACTTTTTTGTGAGAAATAGAATGCTCAGCGTTTGTAGCTAAAATATGGTCGTTTTGCTTGTTGAGGATCCCTTCTAGCGTAAAAATTTTGCTAGAGAGAGCGATGAAGGGTTGCGTGTCTCCACTAAAGTGAGTTAGCAACACTTCTGCATTTTTTGCCCCTGCGCTGTTTGTTGAGATCGGGATTGAAGTGACATTTCTGCTCACGGTAGGAACGTTAATGAGGCTTTTGCGTGACAATCCGCCCCACCAAAAGCTTGGATAAATCTTGCTCCTGTGACGTCTTTCTGATGGGTCACACATGATCACATCGACTGGTAACAGACTAATTTAATACTTCAATCTATAGAAACACTGGCCTTTCTACCCCTTCCTGGTTTGTATTTGATTGAATCTTTTCCTTTGTATAGTTTTATAGCCTTCCGTACTGATATTATAGGCAGGAGGAATTTCAAAATGCCCTTCCGCCTCTTGCATGCCAACGATTGCAAGTGGCATTGAATGAGCCTCGGCCATCTAGAAGTTATTAAGAGTTTCACATAAACCATGCATATTGCAAGAAACCTAACTGTGCAACTAATCAAAAGCGGGTGAAGTGAATTTGATAAATTGCCTTTACCTTACAAGTTTCTCAATTTTGGCGCCCATAACTTTGGGACACCCTGCATATCTGTATTAGGATATTACTACCACTACATCTCATATGTCATGAACAAATTTCTCAAGCGTCATACCAATCTTATCGTTTCTGAAAATGTTCACCGATATCCTATGGTTAACACTTAATCTTCACGAACAAGAGCTGTGTTCCTCTACACAGTCTGTACTCGCGTGCGACCGTCTTGTTATTTCAACCGTGCTAGAACGCATTGTAGTTTTAGCTTTACTGAGCTTAGTGGTATGGGGCTCCTAGTAGCGACAGCGAACCGTGGTGAAGCCGATTTTCATTCATCTAGAGACCATCAACCTCCCTGCACATGACATTTGCATGCGGTAATGTCATTTATCCTCCGTTTTGAGGAATAGACAGCTCCGTTTAATTCGTCTATACAAACACCGACTTGAGAAAAATGCCTAAGATGAATTGATTTTTGTGTTCCAGCAGCCTGAATTGAATGCTCAGACTCCAGCGTTTCAGTTCAGCAGCACTGTTGAATTGGCTCATTCTAAAGGAGGTCACATGTGGTATGTTACCAATCCACTAGCGATCTTTAGTATTCATACTAGATTATTTTTTCGTGAAATTCTTGCAGGGGTCGGTTTAAAATGGAACGACCGAATGGGTCAACGTTCGATGTTGCAATACCGACGGTTGTTTTAGAGTCTTTCGATGAAAGCAGCGTTGGAAACATTGAGAAGACCGTAGAATGAGAAGATCTAGGTCAATAGTCATATGTAATGTATTTATTTTTCCTCGCACATATAGAATGGCAGGGCTAGCGTAGACCTGTAAGCCTTATAAATGAGTCAAAGACAAGAGCATCCTATTATTTTGTGTATAGACGGGTTTTGTTTCAATAGTAGATAGCGTTTTGTTGACAGATTTGTTCTCAACATGTTGTTCTTTACATTGGATATAATTTCTTCATGATGTCTTAGTAATTTCCCTGTTGAGCTCTTTGATTTANCTCGCACATATAGAATGGCAGGGTTAGCGTAGACCTGTAAGCCTTATAAATGAGTCAAAGACAAGAGCATCCTATTATTTTGTGTATAGACGGGTTTCGTTGCTATAGTGGATAGCGTTTTGTTGACAGATTTGTTCCCAAACATGTTGTTCTTTACATTGGATATATTTTCTTCATGATGTCTTGGTAATTTCCCTGTTGAGCTCTTTGATTTATGCAGGCCGTACTTACTTCTGCCATTTGAGATTAGCCAACAAGTAGCTAGAGAAAACAGCACGAAGTTCAAAAAGATCAGTTAATCTTTGTAGACTTCATGTGAGGGTATCTCTCAGTACCATAGATCAAGCCTTCCTTCTACCATGTCATTAATAACAGTTCATTAAATAAATGCAATAGCATATTTCATTCACGGCGGTTTACTTGGGAGCGAGGTATTTGCCGGGATTACCGCTGCCTAGTGGTACAAGTTAGTTTTCACGACTTTATCAAAACTCCAAGGCCTTCGCCAACGATGCCTTTCAGAAAAGTGAGTTTTCTTTTTTAGTGTATTTAGCCTTTCGAACTATAATAGGCAAAGCTGGATCAGAATGCGCTGAAAAGGTTGCCTTTGTATGTGGTCTGAGAGATACGTCTTAACTGGCATGCTCGGTCCGACCATGTTACGATGTAGGTTGCGTTGTTGTGGAAGAAGTAACTAGTTAGGAAATACTTTATACTGAGTTCATTGTTCCTTGTAGTTCCAAAAAAATTGAAAATTTGAATCTACATTAGCTGCTCTCTTTGATTCGATAGATTGGATATAAATCCGAAAATCGCTGATTCTTCAAGTGTTCACTCGATGCAAAGTGATCCAAAGTTGGCCTCCCGCAAATGAAACGGTAATGATAGTTCCACAACAACTTGCCCTTGTCATGCCCTAATGATGCATCGGATGTTTTTGTTTTCATATGAAATCCATCGCGTTGAAAGCGGCGCTGTCATCTGATCCTACATAAAGTTGCAACAAAACTACTGACCTAAATTTTCTTCTTTAACTTTTGAAAATTCGCATTTCTCAGTCTTCGATTTATTTCTTTCCCTTTTCAAGTTTATTGGGTTTTGTTCCCGTTTCTTTATTTTCGGCAGAACGTATGAAGTTGGCATGGCCTAGCCATTTCCTTTTGTGGTGGAGGTGTTTCATAACTTTGTTTTCGAACTATTGCCTTCAAATGATAGATAACAATATTTCATAATCTTATTTCCTATTCTTTGAAGTAGCAAGTAGAAGGAAGAATGTTGCGTTGCCTGCTCAGGTTATCCACACATCACTCACCATCCGTTTCTGTTGGTATTCTATAATCCTTTGTCATGTTGCTGTTCATCAGAATCTCGTTGCTAGGGCATTGATTGTTTTTTTTTTTGCCAGTATGCGTTGAATGGGTTTCGATAGCTCCTTTCTCTTGAACTGGTTAACTTATAAGAGTTTATTCGCATGAAACCTACATCTCTTACTTCAATAAATAGGTGTTGCCGCTATCCCTTTGATTCCTCGGTTGGTACTCGCGATTTCATACGACTAAGTGGACATTACATCTTTATAGATCTCAGCAAACGTTTCATATCAGCTCGAAAGATGACTCCTTCCCTGTTAACTCCTTCGCAGGTATATAATGTATCAGCTTCTAGCAGTCTGGGAAAAACAATTGTGTTCCAAATAATGGTAGGGGGAATCGCTAGTTGGAATGGGTAAGAATACTCAGACGAAAATTTTTCGCGAGACTTACTCAACATCAAGGGTAACATTTACAGAGGTAAACGAATATTTACTCTCATGTTTTCGAACTCTGTTATGTATGAGCACTTCCTCAACTTTTTTTCTGTTTTCACTTCATTAAATTCTGTGCTCGCTTTTTCGACAGTTGTTCTGTCCATGCTAGCATATCCTTCTGTAAGATTTCACGTTTACCGTTAATTATTCTTTGAATTCCACCACACATGATGCAATTTTTGAAGTCGAAAGCCAAATGCTGCGAATTTATTCCAACAAAAGAGAGAAAGGGATGTATTCACCTCGGCTGACAATATACAGTTAACCTCTCCAATAATGTAGATTCCTTATTTAAGAAAATTGCAAGAAAGTGGAGGTAAAAGCAGGTTCAATGTAGCTGAAGCAACAACCCATCATTTTCTCGGGAGGCACGTCATGCCATTTGCACCCCTGAAAATCGTTATTGCTATTCGACTGACCGACTGTTTTGGTTTTTCTCCAAGGTAATCATTTGTCTAGACCAGCCAGTGATGTATTTATTGATTGATGTATTTGTCGATGAAATCTGTCAGTAACGATGCTACCATGAAAGGCTGTAAACATGGGTGTCCCCAGCTGGAGCATACGCCTGAAATCTTTGTTGGATTTTTTGTCTTTGCTCCATCTCCACCTTAATATGTAAGGCGACCAGGACAAATAGTGCCAGTAAAATCTGTTACTGTTGAGGAATTGTGAAGATTAAAGGTGGAAATGGCAGTGGCAGTGAACGAAAGCGACTGTGAATGATGTTTTTCGCATGAATTGTCCATCATTCCAGTTTTGCATCTCCTACATCTCTAACCCTTCACACTGCCTCTTCTTTGTCAACTTTTTTTTGGTAAAGAGCTGTACGGGTTGTATAGATCAAAGGCTGGTGACATTGGTGCCTTTTAACAAACAACGAGTCAAGCTGATTGATAACTGTCTCGTAAGACTTGGTTGCGTAACCTTGGCCTATTGAAAGTGACACCTGCCAGGTTCACACCGCAAAGTACTGCATCCGATTCAAAAATTCCCTGGTGGTTCTCTAATTTCGTGATTTGAGGTTCTCTTTTGAAAAGCCACTATGATATCGAAGGGCTCCTTTTTTTTCCACTGTCCAGCTTTAACATTCGATCTAAGTTGAGGTTCATTGCAGATGATATTGCGCATGAATATTTCTGAATAAGTCATGGTTAGAAAAGGTAGCCTTCACCACTATGGCAACGGCTTGGTGACCACCTTGTGTTGCTCGAAGACTCATGGAAAACGTTGCTACGCATTTCGATATCAATCAAAACCATTGACATTTGACTTTGTATTTGAATTATATTTGGGTTCGACAGGGCGATACTATCTCACCCAAAGCAGGCGGGACTGGAAGGATTCGACTGGAAGTTTGTGAAAAGTGAAATTTAACGATAACGATGATTACGTTGAACGGATTGGTACCTGTTCTTCGCTTACGCTGAACGGAACGAATGTCCTATGTTCTATCTATCTAGGTCGAGAATTCAGAGATCAGGTGGGACGAACACCTATGCGATATTGTAATAGCCGTTGGACCAATGGGGTTACTGACAGGATCCCTCGGGACGTCAAACGAACACCAGGATGGCCGCCAGCGCAATGGTCAGACATCTTCACGAAAGCTCTGAACGGAAGGGATGCTATGTTTTGTGCTTCTCAATCGAGGACGATCTACCGGACCACTCTGGCTCGCGACAGGGACGAATGAAGACGTTACTGGCACTCGAGTAGATCTATGATCAACGTGACAGTAGGTGATACAGGTGATTTGGCTTATAAGTACCATAAATTGTGAGCTAGAATATATGGAAGTCAGAGCATTTATCCTCTGGTACTAGTCCCTAGAACCACTAAAAAGTCAGAGGCTTTGGCTGTGGCTTTGAAGGGTTTTTGTCCGACATTTGCGAGCCCCACATTAGCAACGCCTCCACTCAGCCCAATCCCTTCGCTCCCTGAAAAGACATCTTCCCGAGTTTTTATGACTGAAACTGGAAGAACTTTGGTTTTGGATCGGTCGTATAGATGTAATCGAGGTCATCTATTATAAGAAGAAGGTCATCTTAGAAATGGCTGTCGGCTGTACGGCTGTTAGGGGTTCTAGGGACTAGTACCATCTTAGAAATGGCTGTCTATTTGTTCAATCGTATATGAGGAATAAAGTTCCTTCCCGTTAATCAATGGCGCATTCGATCCCTATTCGGAATCGTGGTAGCGTTTTGAAAGCTCATGTGGCTTATACAATGAGTTACGGGCCAGCAGATGTACAAGTCAGACTTTTATTCTTCCAGACGAGCGTGGTACTAGTTAGCCGACCCTGGAGGTATGGGAGGCTCAGTTTGCCGACTAGAGGTATACTAATAAGAGCAATATTCGCTCGCTAAATAGAAGCGCGGATTACTTCTCATCAAATTGAGCTGGAATATGAGCCCTTTATCTCTCAGGTAAAGTTAAGCCAAAGGAAATATGTAAACCATCAAGGGAACCAGTCTAACTTCCTATTATTTCCAGATCAATATTTGTTCGGAGAAAAACCAGACTTGATAAAGAGTGGTGAACCCATCTTGTTTAGAACCTTATTTTTCTCATTCTGCAGGCTCAGTAACAGTAACGCAGACTAACTTACTTCGTTTCTTCTACCTCTTCCTATCGTTTCCTCAATAATTTGTCCGTGTGCTGCGTGATCGTGGTGATCGTATTGATTCTTCTTGTTGTGTGTTTCCTGACATATCACTGGCTTTGCACGTTTCTTATTTTGCTTGCCTACAATGTTTTCTTTTCTGCCTCTGTTCCTCAGCGACTTTTAGTGTATCCAACTTTTTTGGTCCTCGACTACGTTCATTGTACATGTCGAACATTTGAAAAAAATTGGAATCTGAATGGGAATCGTTGGCTTGCCTCCTTGTCAATCAACGCCTAGTTCACCCTCCTATATTGTAATCTAATAATCG